GCATGTTGAAATATCTAATGTAAATGTTCAAATAAAGCTTTGAAAAAGTTTAATAAAAAGGTAAACCTCACATTTCAGCCTTTAAATAAAGAAAAGATATGTCAAAATGATAATTGATTAATAAATGGTTATATGTATTTTATCTGCTCCATAAATAATTCTACATAACTTATCTGGATTGTTTAAATGTGTAGAATCCACATAAGCTTGTTTTTCATCAACCGGTCAAAATTTACAGCAGGGCATGCAAATTCGGTCCGTTTTTGTCCAGACAGAAACTGCACACAGGCTGAATGTAAATATAAGTCTCTGTAAATCCACTCGCTAACAGCAGGTGGCGCTTATGGAAACGCTGTTTCCCGTAACCTCCGTGGACAAAGCAGCATTGCGATTAAGAACATCCTCAGGTATTACATGGAGCGGAGATGAAAACAAAATGCCATCGAATCGTTTCTGAAGACAGTCAGAACCTTCAGAGGTACATTCATATAATTAATTAATTCATATATTCATTTGTATAATTCCCTTAGCACTCTTTTAAAACCTCCCAGCTTTTCCGCCCTGTTTTCACTCAAAATGAAACTACGCTGCATGCTGTGCGCATGTGACACTGTTACTTAAAACTGTGCTTTATGCTGGACAGTATTTATTTATCGCGAGTTGTTCAAATTGCGGTAATCTAATACGGTTTTAATGATAATTAAAAGATGAAACGGTAATACTAACCATGGGGAATGTTATCATGATTTATCGTCAAACCGGTAACCGTTACATCCCTAGTCTACATGCAACATTGGCACTTTAAAAATGATTTTGTTACATCGCAGTACTATTTAAAATAAACTAGTTAATGCAAATGGTGAAAATGCATGGTGACCAGTACAAAATATCAAAGCACACACACACAAATATATATATAAATATTGATTAATTGATTGATTGCTTTTTAAAATCAATTAATATGTTTCTTACCAATTAAATCAATCAGTCAGTCAGTCAATCAAGGCTTCTATTGAAGCTTTTTAATGACACCAGTAAAAACAAGCACACGAGGCTACATTACATTTTGATATGCATGCGAGTGCATGTAGGCATCTTTCAGATTACAAAACATTTTTAATTACTATTGTACGTATTTGGCCTAAATTCCTCTTATTAGTTTGCATATTAATTTACTGCACACCCATTAACAAGTGAGCCATGACCCCGTGCCAAACACAGCCCTCTGAACACATTAAACTGATGCTTTATGGCATACGGCACTGAAAAAAGGGAGGGACACATAAAACCAATCCATGTTAATGGCCCCTGTTGTTAACAACATTGGGAATAGGGGACATGGTGGCAGGGCCATTTCTAGCCAATTTGACGTCCTAGGCGAAATCCCTATTGCCCCCCCCAAATTATATATATATATATATATATATATAATTCTTTTCAGACACCAGTTGCTTGTCACATTCGGTTGTAACGACACAAATTTGTGGAGATTCAGTGCATTGAGTTCCACAAATCTGAATGCATTATTTGTAAATTTCAGATTGACAGTACTCTAGCCTAATAATGTTGGGGGATCCAGTGGGGGCGGCAGTCATATTTCAGGGTGACCGTGCCACTCTTTATCACAACCCTGCTCAAAGTGCCAGTACGTGCGCTCATTGGCGCCCCTTCAGCTGGTGGCGCCCTAGGCGACCGCCTAGCTCGCCTATGCCTAGAAACGGCCCTGCATGGTGGTTCCAGCGCTGTCTCACGGCCAATTCGTACGTATTTTATAAGGTGGCTAATTTGTACAAATTCGTACAACCTCACTCGTACGCTTATGTACGATTTCTGTGACCGTTAAGTTCAGGGGCGGGGTTAGGTTTGGTCCTTCGTACAAATTCCTACGAATTTGCCACCTCGAAAAAACATAGGATTTTTCACAAATGAGTGAGGTCGTACGAATTCGCACAAATTAGCCACCATGTCAAATATGTACAGATTGCCGTGAGATCGGGTTGGTTTTCATATAGGACAGTGTTACGGGAAATATGATGTTAGTGGTCAAAGGCCTTTGCATAAGATCAGCATTAGATCACATCTGCGTATATGTGCACTAGAGAAGTTTAAGTAAATTGCAAGTTCTGAATATTCAGCATGCATGCTTCTGAGCATTACTTTACTAAAATAAATCAGCCACTCGATAAAGTGCAAAATGGACCTAAAGCAAATCAAACTGCTGCCAATACAGCATCAGAGGAGGCACTTTGGAGTCAAAAGGCCATTCGTGGCAAACAGATAATTTTCAGCTTTAACTGAATGCAATGTGGCAGTTTCAGAATTACCTCATTCTATAAATCAAGCAAATTTTTTTATTGCACATTCTTACAATGAATGGACATTATTATGTATTAGTTTAAGCATGATGAGTGTGTAACACAGCACTCGTGTCTGGGTCCCAGTTGCCTTGTTCATGCGGTTTTTAACTGGTTTGGATGCTCACTTTGATTTGTTACAAGGTCACTATTATTTAAAGTTAAAACAATGCATATACTATTTCTGGCATCACTTAGAAGTCAGATGTAAAGTTTCCTGGTAATGATTCAAACTGTAAGATATTTGGTTCACAAGAGATGAAATCCCTGCACTAATGTAGAGTTTGTGAAAGCGTATTTGTTTTATGTATGAGTGCAATGATAAGTACAGTTTCTGCAGGATTTATTTGTCTTTTTTGTTACTAGTTTTCTGTGGTTTTTGGAGTCTCCTTATGGATTGCAAACGTTATACAACTTCCAGAATCAAATAGAGGTTAGAGAATTGTGCTGTTCTGGCCTTGGACACATCAGGAAACAATATAAAACAGATCCTCTTAAAAAGGTTATATGAAACGTATTTCAGTATACATTAAATACACTTAACATGTTAAACAAATGTCATAATTTAGTTGTCATGTCATGACCATTTTCCAGCCTCTCTGACCAATTAAATGGGTCGTTTGTGGATGTTGAGTAACAATGCTTTGCTTGCTGTCAGGTATAATATAGTAAAAGCAAGAAAAAAAACGTATTTGGCAGTGGAGCAGAATAATAAACTTGTTTTCCCTTTGAATTATGTTTATTTTCCTTTCCCATTTTTCTTCTTGTGTTAAGCATAAACCTCACTAAATTTTGTTAGATGTCTCTGAAAACAAGACTTTATTTCCTTCAGCTTGTCAACTGAATATTTTTCGCTTAAGGATATATTAACTGGAGGCCAACAGTATTGAATAAATGTAATTGAATAAATTAAATACAGGCCAACAGTATTGAGTAAGACATTACATTTGCATTAGGTGTTTACACCATTTTATGGTTAAAGTTACTTCTTGTACAGTTTAGTAATAATTAACTAATATATAAATGAGGGAGGACATGCATCAATGTCTTTGTGGTATCAGAAGCTTGAGGATTACAGAACTCTCAGCCTTGTTTTCAGTGAATGCTATTTTTGGACTAAGGAAAAGGTTTTGAATTTTGAATGCTACAGTATGTGTTCATATTACTCAAAAGATCAAGGATAATTTGTTTCTTTGTAAAACCCCTTTAACATTCAAAATCAAGTTCATTACTCAAGATAAAATTGTAAAAAATTCTTAATTTTATTCTTTATCATGAACTGCGTGGATATAGCAGGAGTAACATCTCATAATGACCATGAAACCAATCATTTGACTCTATGCCTGACTTCTCACCTTTGGCCCATGGGGTTGTATATTTCATTGCTCTGACAGCCGCTGATGGTGATTGGGTCAAAGAACTGGAAGGAACGCAGGCCGATGCCGGAGATGGCCACGAGATCGGAGCGGAACATGAGGAGAATGGCTTTGGTGTGGTAGAAGGCCATGCTCAAGTCATGACTCACTGGGATGACCAGAGGATTGGTGCGGCAGCTCAAACGCCAGTCGCCTAAACATTTCAGGGGAAGGAATGGACACATATGACAGTAATCAGTATTTAGGCAATTGCCAATATTAGAATCAAAGTCGATAGTTATAGAAAACTGTGCAACGTCACAAGCTCTCACCTAAGCTGTGGACGCACTCTTTGGTGTCGATCAGTTGGACTGTGATGTTACACTGGGCTTGGTCGATGAAGCTGGTTCCGTCTGCAGCTAAATGGATGATAACGGCTGCAGCAACCATAGGATGTGAGAAATACGCCTGCAGGAAACAAGAGCTGGTCTTACATTTACGCATAAGTCTTCTTCTATACTGTCGTAACAGTCACTATATGCATAAAAGTTGAGATTTGGGTCTAACCATCAGATCGACTGTAGCAAAATTGCTTAAGGCAAGACACTGCAGGCAAAACCAGCCAATGTTAACATTTTAGACTATTTCGCTACCATAATGTGTCATATTTCAGACCAGTGGAAAGAAAACATCCAAATTACACATTTAAGTGTTTATATTATGCCACTGTATCTACATGTGTCTGTAGATTTAAATTGCAATGCATAACTTTAAAAGCTGTGGGGGTTTATTTTTGGCCTACACTGAGTAAAAAGTCTGCACTCAACTCAACAGTTTTATTCCTATCTGTATTCTGAAATATTTTTACAGAAGATTTAATATACAGTATGATTCACCTGTTTTATATAATATTCTATTCCTAAAAAAACAAAAACAAAAATTAATAAATAAAAAACTTTTAATTTCAACAAAGTGAAAAAAACAATTTAAACCCGGCTTTATCTAATATTCAGATTTCTGTTCTGGATATATGCCTTATTTGCATATCGAAACATACAATTTCAGAAAACTTCTACACTTGTAATGTCTTAATGTACTGCGATAAATTAACTGAGGAAGCATGGTGATTGTTACGATTAGGTTCTGTGCCTTGGATTTTAGATTGTATGACCTGGTTTTCTACATTTTGTTCTTGTTTTCTGTGTTCCTGCTTTTCATTTGTCACCATAGTAACCTATTTGTCACCATAGTAACTGAATTGTTAATTCTCACACCTGTTTCTTGTTTTAAGCCTCATCAGTTCTAGTATATCTTGCCCTCTTTCAGTTCAGTTCTTTGTCTTGTATTACTGCACTGCCATGTCTTTTTTCCTGTGCTTGTGGTTAGTTTTTTGTATGATCTTTTTCGGGTTTTGAAAAAACAAAAAAAAACTTTTCTGCCTAAAAATCTGCCTTCTCACCCTATTTCCCTCATCTACATGACAGTGATAATAATTCATTAAATGTTTATCCTATTCACCTGTAGTGTGTCATCCTAAAGTAATTAATAAACCTGCATGGCACAGCAGCTCACATTTTGTAATGTATCATAACAACTACTTTGGTGTTGATCATATTTATAGCTGAAATCTCCCAACATGTCAAATAAAATTATAATAATAAAAAAACAAATCTCACCTTTAACCAGTACTGAGAATACCAAGAAACACCCTGGGCCTCTCGACATGGAAACCAGGCATACTGAGACACTCCGTCAGAAAGGTCAAACACTTTGGACTGGCACGTCTAGGGACAGACAATATATACAGTATATATATTCCAGTGTTGGGCAAAATTCACTTAATCAATAATAACCAATTGTTACGATTAGGTTCTGTGCCTTGGATTTTAGATTGTATGACCTGGTTTTCTACATTTTGTTCTTGTTTTCTGTGTTCCTGCTTTTCATTTGTCACCATAGTAACTGAATTGTTAATTCTCACACCTGTTTCTTGTTTTAAGCCTCATCAGTTCTAGTATATCTTGCCCTCTTTCAGTTCAGTTCTTTGTCTTGTATTACTGCACTGCCATGTCTTTTTTCCTGTGCTTGTGGTTAGTTTTTTGTATGATCTTTTTCGGGTTTTGAAAAAACAAAAAAAAACTTTTCTGCCTAAAAATCTGCCTTCTCACCCTATTTCCCTCATCTACATGACAGTGATAATAATTCATTAAATGTTTATCCTATTCACCTGTAGTGTGTCATCCTAAAGTAATTAATAAACCTGCATGGCACAGCAGCTCACATTTTGTAATGTATCATAACAACTACTTTGGTGTTGATCATATTTATAGTTGAAATCTCCCAACATGTCAAATAAAATTATAATAATAAAAAAACAAATCTCACCTTTAACCAGTACTGAGAATACCAAGAAACACCCTGGGCCTCTCGACATGGAAACCAGGCATACTGAGACACTCCGTCAGAAAGGTCAAACACTTTGGACTGGCACGTCTAGGGATAGACAATATATACAGTATATATATATTCCAGTGTTGGGCAAAATTCACTTAATCAATAATAACCATATTATATGACATTTTGCAGTTTATTTTAAGGAAGAAGCATGCGGTTTGTATTAGTGTTGTTTTGTCTAGTCGTACTGCTGGTGGACAGCTCTGAAAACAATGTCTACCCTGATCTGCATTGTGTGATGTGTTGAGAATACTGAGAAAGTGATTTTATTGAACCTCCCTGAAAAAAAGAGCTGTACACATCATGACATTAGACAAGGACACCATGTTTCGCCCATTCTCCTGACCATATGAAATATGATACATGAAACTGGAGCCACTATGGAAACCACACAGAGAAATAATGAAGCATCTGACCAAGAGATCTGTTGATGTGTCATGCATGATCTGGCACCTTAAGGGAATAAAGCTATATTGCTTTTCCAAGCATTGCAACCGCAGGTGGCACTTTATTTATTTATTTATTTTTCTAAATGTAAGGCATGCACTTTTATCATGTTCATAAGAAGCAACAAACCTACAACCAAACCCTTGTGAAAAAGACATGAGCTCAATCATAATATATACAGTATATACTGTATATATATATATATATATATATATATATATATATACACACTAATTCAAAAAACACTCTAAAGTTAAATTGCATATGTATTATATTTTAACTACAATACATATTTATTTCATTGCAATTAATATGCGATTAAGTGTCAAAAAACATTATATTCAGTTTGCCTTTAAATATATTCTTTTAAAGTCTATTATTTCCATAATAAGAACTATTTTTAAAAGTATGCTAAAGTGTACTTTTCACAAGGGAAGCTACAAAATTCTACCTCTACAGTGGCTTCTCTTCTCCCCAGTGTGTATTTATCACTGATTTGATGATATCAGTGGGGGAATGGCTACCTATCAGTGGGTGGTGGAAGTCTCCCTGCGGATGCATAGCAGGCCTGTGACATCATTGTAAACCAAGACATAACCGCCAGGAAAAGCCCACCAATAGCCCAGCATGAGGGGCTAAATAAACCAATAAAACAAATGATCTACAACTTATTGACTCAAACCACAGGTTACTGGAATGTGAGGACAGACTGTAAATTATAAAAGGAGCTGGAAAAATCAACACTCAGTGCTTGGAGTCAGTTGTGGTGTTTTTTCAACCGAGAGGAAAACCAATCTAAAAAAAAAAAACTTGATTGAAATCTTGTGCTGTGAGGCTCGTCAAGTCAGTAAGGTGGATCACTGTTCAACTTGGTGTGGTTTGGCGACCTGGTCTCAAGCGCAGAAAATTGCATTAAGTGACGTAAATTTGTGAAGTAGTGGCTATTTTTCTCACCATGTCCTACACCGTGACATGTATGTGTAGCATAGCAGGCGACATGCAGACAAACTGCACTTATAACCCAGCACCACGGTCGACCCAGCAACTGGACGTTTCAATGTGAAGTTAATTATAAGCAAACAACCTCAAGCATTCACTCCTGAAAACAAAGTAAGCCTGGGATGGTTTGACAATTGTGTTCAAGAGCTAATGTCTACCAGCTGTGTAGTTATAGAGTGGAACGCCCCCCACCACCACCACCACCACCTTACTACAGACATATATGCACAGAACCACAGCCAAACCCCAAGATTTTGTTTGTAAATCACCACTTAAGATAAAAGGGAAATGGAGAAGAATCATTGGGAGCCAGAGGGCGTACCTGTCCCTCCTCTGTCTGCACGAGCAAAACTCTTCTTGCTCAGTTTAGCTGAGGCCCCACCGTTAGGTTCCAATGCACGTTAGAAAGCTCTATATAGACTCACTGCATTAAATGGAGTTCCTAACAAAACTTGGGTGTCCAATCGGCACCTGAACAAGTGTATATAAGTGTATATTATTTGCAGGGCCGTAGCTGGGATCAAACCATCCTTTGTTTTCAGGCTTATTTTGTTTCCAGGCCCCGGTGCAGTTTGTAGCTGTGGGCTCTGGTTGAAATTGTGTTCCTTGCATTTGGTCCCCATCGGTTGAAATTACATTCGACGGTTGTCTCTGTGGGCCCCTAGAATCATCACCACCTTCCTCCCTGCTAATGGCGGCCCTGATCCTACAAAAGTTCTTTCGGCATTCCTCCACCACCCCAACTTCACCATCTTGGCTGGTTACCACTTAAACCAGTCAAGGAAGTCCTTGGGCAGTGGTTTTCGACCATGTTCCCGGATCCCTCAACACTGCCTCCTTTCTCTCATAAACCAATTCCAGGTCTTGGAGTCTCTACTACTGAGCTGATGACCAGAATCAGGTGTATCTGATTAAGGAGATGGGCAAAATGTGCACTGTTTGGGGGGGGGGCTTCAGGAACAGGGTTTAGAACCACTGTCCTATGGGGTACTTTGGGCTCAGGGTCAATTTCAAGCTTGAACCCTCCATCATGGACGGCAATCAAAATGTGTATACCTCCACTTCATGAAAGATTACATGAACGTGTGAACTTGTGAACTAAGCCAATCATTCAGACGTGTCAAAGTTCAGTAGTGTCCATGTTTGCTGCTCCAAAAAAGAGCACAATTTCAGAAATCCTTTAGAAAAAAATGTGGAAATACAACAGGTGTCCTCTGCAGAGGTAAAACAAAGTACTCCAGGGTTGACCCAGTCACATCAAACCGCAGGGTTCTCAAAAGCTTACTGAAGAACAGCTGTGCTACCTGGCACCGAATCAGCCCCTGGATCGCTTGATTAAAGGATAAGTTTGATTTTCAACCAGCTTTGTATTGTTACAATGTCTTTAGTATATGTTCACGAACAATGTGCACTCTTTCTCTGTGTTCTTTATGTCCTCGTTTATTTGTCAGCAAAAGTGTGAAAGTTCGATCTGTTGTTTTAGCATAAGCCCTGGAGTTCTATTCCCGCCTATGTACAGTCGGATCGACAGAGGGTCAGCACCAAAATCAAAAGTGCAATATGCTGAAAAATGAACATATTCGTGTCATTGTAAACATTTAGAGGTATTTCGTCTTTGTTTTTCCTTCTTGAAGACTTTCAACTCTACTGTTGCTTTTCTTCGGCATACACAAACAATTTTTAAGGGAAATGAGTGTTTCTTGTTTGGAATCTATTTGCATATTTGCTTGTTTATTTTCCCTGCCCACATTGGATACACTTGAACTTGTTTTTCCTGCAAAATTGGGACAAATAATACAATGCTTTGCCAACTGACCACCTAACATCTGCAAGATATTTATCGAAAGACATTTGTGAAGTTTAAACAACCATCACGACATGAGGGAACCCTGCACAAAGTTTGCCATGTGAGGTAACATCCTTTGGAAACCATGCAGGAAGGCTCAAAAATCTGCCACAAAAGCAGTGCTGGGAGTGGAACCGCTCTTCTCGTCTAGGTGCAACCTCAACCATATCAACACAGATGGTTTATGACAGCACTGATCTCATAACTGGGACAGCACCTGGAATGGCTTCATCTAGCGTGTCAGGCCTGAAGCATTGGCTCTCGCATCTGTGGGCATACAAGTAAAATGTGCGGTTGGCCAATGGTCTGTCTGTGAGCTACCTCCACATCACATAAACAGCCCTAGTTCAACAAGCGTCCAAAAACCCTGACTTGTTAACAGCCAGCAGTGTAAATGGAGGTTGAAAGTCCAGTCTTCAACAAATTGTCTTTTTAATTAGAAATTAAGCAGAAGTAGTTCAACAGTATGGCAAACCAACTGCCCCTTTTCTGGTTTCACAAAGAATTCAATTCAGATTCTTTAATTATAATTTATAACAAATACTATAATTTACACAAAATCAGTCGATGGCCCTAAATCTCTGGGCTTCTCTAAATTAGGAAACCCTGAGTAGACCACACCAAATTATCTTGCCACATTGCAGCACAGCAATCAAAGCATTGCTGAAGACGATTAGTGACCCAACAAGGAAATGGGCGTGACTCATCTGTCACTCCTACCTTGCAAGACCTTGCAAGCATTTTGTGGTTGTGTCTGTTCACACGCAGACTCCAGCAGCACAATGCACTCCTGTGTGACGTCATTATGCCTCCAGGGCAATGGAGCTTGCGTCATCGCTTGCTGAGGAGCATGGACACCTTCGAGATCAGCTGGCTGCATTATGTGACCACGCTATGCTAGCATGTGCTAACTTACTGTTAACTGGTGAATTCCCCCCAGACCAGCGTCAGCTAAAAGCAGCATCCCAATGGTACCACCACATGAACAAGATGTTCTGTTCAAGTATTATTACATCGGAGAACTCTGAGTCCTGTTTGTGCTTGGCCAGGTGCGTGTAAGAAGTACCTCAACTGACCCGAGCAGCAATTAGCCCAAGAGACAGGTAAAATTAGGAGCAGGTAATTATTTAAATAAGTCAACAGTAATTTTGATGCACGATTAGCTGGTCTGTGTAAGAACCTGAAGACTTTCCTCCTAGGCTTTTAAATATGCACAGAATTGGAAAGGTTGCATTCATGAAACGGTGCGCTATATAAAAGTAACTGCAGATACTTTTCAAATTTTCAGAGTAATTATATTTACAAAGTATGAATAGCACACATGCATACTATTTTATTATTGTGCAAAATAGGGATGTGCCTGAAGCTGAATGCCCAGCCTGGTCTCATGTTTATACGTAGGTATTAATACGTAACACCACATTAAAGTGCACTAGGATAAAGCACTACTTTAATGAACATATTTAAAATTACAGTGTAAATGAAGTTCAAATCAGATGGATGCATTGTACACTCTTAAATATATATACTGTATATGTGCTTTACTGACATATGGTTCCATAAGAATATTTAACGTCCATGGACACTTTTCACTGCATAAAAGGTTCTTTATAGTGGAAAAAGGGTTTTGGATTATTCAATTTTCTTCACACTATGAAAAAAAAAATGGTGAGAACTGCCCACTGAAAAGTTATTTGGCGAAACAAAAAAATGGTTCTTCTATGGTAAAACTGCAAAAAAAACACCTTTTAGAACCTTTATTTTTAAGAGTGTAGTCTCCTGTTATTCTGCATATCTCAGAAATCTGATTTAGTGAAGAGTAACATTAAACTAAGACACTATATCATGCATATTTTTCACTTTTTGAAACACCTATGTTAATGTTTAAACATTCCGTGTGAGATATATGATCACACGACAATTATTTGTATTATCTCTACAATAATTAAAATGAAACACGTAATAGCCATAATTTTTACATTTAAAATTGGTATATTTAAGGTGTACATAAGTCCATGTATTAATATTCTTCAATTTTCAAGTGTGAAAATAACTTTATTGCACTTCTCCCAAATGCTGCTCTTGTTTTAAATCATATAATTTGATAATTAACTTTTTTTGCTAACTATTCAAAAAAGTAGTTTGACTGCAATTTAACTACTTTAATTGAAAGTGTAGCTTGTCAGGCTAATCATAATTTAAGCTTCCTCACACTGGTGATGAATGAGTCATCTGTGAAAGATCACCGACTTCTCAATAGCCCGATAACACAGAACTTTTCACTGGAATCTACAGTACGTAACTGCTCTGTGATTAATTCGTATTAAATGTTTATTCAAATGGATGACAAAGGACTAGTATAACTGCAAATGACCTAAATCAAGAGCATCTTTTCCAGGCCACCGCCACACAGAAGAAAAGACACTGTGTTCTCTCTAGATATAAGACAGGCAGCCGGCCTTTAAAATGTCAGGTGGTGAGCAGAGATGTTACAGTGTATAAGTTTTCAGATGTGGCTTTCACATGAAATAAAATGTGCTCCCTTGACCTAAAGATCAGTTTGTTCTTCACGGCAAATAGCTTGAATCAGTGGCTCCAGGCCCACTGGCATCTGATGCTCCAGCACAGCATTAAGAAGTAAAATCTATTTTATTTAGACAGTGACAATATTTTCAATATACTGTATAATGTAATGTGTAATTTGCACATTTTACTTTTGGAATTTTTACTTATTGAACGTTTTAGGAAACAGCCATTTTTAACACTGCCTGATCATAGAAGGCAATAGGCCAGGACATTGTGCACAAGGGCCGTTTGACACTGAGGTCGGCGTGTAATTTCGCAGACATCTTTATGGTCTACTCAGCTCTGGAGATGTTATCTTCAGTCTTACCAAAGGAACTGATGCAAGTATTTGTGGCAAGCCAAAGTTCTTAAATGAAAGAGCCATCTTTTGCAAAAGTCAACAAGAGTTCCAAAAGGCTTAACCATATAAAGCCATCTTTAATGATTTTTAATAAGTAAATGTATGAATATCTTTCATATTGCTAGTAATATTTCAAGATGAACACATACTGGACTGAAGCTTATATTTACTTGATTATCATCAATCAATTAATAACATTTTTTTTTTTTTTAAATCATGTCAAAATCAGGCATTTAAAGAACATTTATTTGTTCATCTCTCAATCATCATTGTAATGCATTACATTGTATGTTTTGATCATTAAACTAAGCATTTAAATATCATCTTACTAATACTTATTTTTGGAGATATAGAGTGACAAATAGGTCATTGCGTGTCAAGTCAACCAAATGTCAGAAACGTCCCCGGCTCAAAGTTTTGATTTTGTCAATATTTTGTTTTTTCTGAAGAAAGATAAACATGTATAGCGATGAAAGCCAAAATATTACATGTCATGGATGTATATTAACTGAGTAATCCACTATTTTGTAGAGAGGGGTCAAAATGACAATTTTCACCTGAGAGCCAAATTACAGGGGGGTCAAAATTCCTTTAGAAAAATGGCAGCATCATGTTATTTTCATGCGTTTTGGTAACGGTACGATTCACTTGGAACCTCAACCGAGGTGGTACTAAAAAAAGTACCAGGTACCAGGTACTGTACCCAGTGGAAAACCCCCCAAAAGTGAACCGTACCGAGCCGTACCATGCAGTGGAAAAGCGCCAATAGATCAAGTAGTATCCACTGCTAATGGGCATATTTGGCAGAATCACTGATAGTACCTCAAACTTTGAAACATTTATGGTCTCTTAAACTTGAAATAGTTAACGTTTGGTAATTCTTAACCCTGAGTAAATGGGACCAAGTGTAATCTTATTTTAAGTTTCACATTGCTCATGCTTTACATTCATAATCTGACATGTGACACTATATATTCCTAAACCCTGGGTTACTGTTATTATTTGCATACTTGCAGTGTCAACAGTCATAACTAGATAAACACAAAAACATTTGTTTTCAACCATTGAAAATGAGTAGGATTCAACCATTTGGACATGGAGCCACACTGAGATCCTGATGTCTCTGTGACTGAACAATATAGGGCCTAAAATGAAGACTCCAAAAGAAAAGTTTATTAAGAACCACAATTTAAAAGAATATTAGGACATATTTAATACTTATTGAGTTACAGACGAGCAAATTTCTAAGGTATAGTCTATGCAACTGGGAAACAAGATACATTTCTTCTTTCAATATTATTTGTTTTTCAGACATTGTTTTTTAAACCCAATAAGTATCAGCTGTATGCAAAATGACCACATTTGGGTTTCATCCATTGAAAATGGGTAAAATTCAACAAATTGGACATTGAGTCACATTGGGCTCCCCATATCTCTGGGATTGAACCATATAGGACCTTAAAAATGAAGATTACAAAAGAAATGTTTATTAAAAACCACCATTTAAAATGATATTGATATATCTTTCATATTTCTTGAGTTGTAGGCACGCAAACTTTGGTAAAAGAATATTTATGGAAATCAGACAGGTATGTTCTACGCAATGTTTTGATAGAGGGAAAAAATATACATTTCTAGTTCCAACATTGTTTGTTCTTCAGACATTCCACTTTAAAAGGGAAAAAAAAGTATCAACTGAATGCAAAGAGACCCACATTTGTTTTTTTTTTGGCCACTGAAAATGTGTACAATTTAACAATTTACTGCTGGAGCCATAGTGAGATTCCAGTTTCGTTGGATTGGGACCAGATAGAGCCAAAGATACCAAGATACCAAAAGAAAAGTTTGTTAAAACCCAAATTCTAAAAGGGGCATTAAGATATCTTTAATACTTCTTGAGGTACAGACCTCCTGTAATTTGGCTCTGAATCTCAGGTGAAAACTGTCATTTTGACCCCCTCCCAACAAAATAGTGGATTACTCAGTAAATATACATTCACAACATTTAATTTTAGATTTGTGTTATATTTTGTCAAATCATAAGTCGGGCTTTACATGGTTAAAAGGCTCAAACATTCAATTCATTGTGTAATTACGTGTAGATGGTTTAATTACGCTTTCCGCTGGGACAAATGAAGTCTGATTTCACGTCAATGTCGCATGAACCTCTAAACTAATTTTGTACTGCTAAAAATGGCATATGTTGTGTTAAGTAAGCCAATAATATTACCTCTAGTCAAATTAAGAACTTTTTCACTGAGCAACATGCATCAGATAATAGGTGCATAGACTGTGGCTGGTCCATGAATGTGCAAAGCGTCTAAAAGTCATTCACACTGAGACCAATTTATAGTGACATAGTGACCAGAAGCCATTCATTTTCAAAGAGAGTTGTTTGTTTGAGCTGATATGAGTGAATGCTGGAAATACAAAGTTCACTAATACAAAATGTACAGTGATGTGATGGGTCGACTACAGCAAGCTGACATGATTGGCCTCATCATACGGCTTTTGACACTAATTGAGCAGAAACACCCACTAGGTAACCTCAATCGCTGTCTGTGAGAATGCACCTAAGGCTGAGCCTAGCGGAACACTAACCTTAGTAATAGCAGGATATCCAGCAGCCACGTCGGCAGGGCAGTACAGCCTCTCTTCATGGGACACTTCCACTGAGGTGGCCCACTGGTCCAGAAAACCATTCGGTGTGTACAGGCCACAATCCTTCACACTCGTCTCCCGCTCAAAGTCTTCACAGATGCCATCACCGTCATAATAGTAGCACATGCTGGGCTCATCTGAACACACGTGTGCATGTTTGTGTTTGAGAAAGACAGAGAGACAGTCAATGTTAGCAAGAAAAAAAAATCTACAAACACCGAATATACATTTTTAAATAAATCCTAAAGATTTGGAACATACATGATGATGATTTTGGCGGAACTGTTCCTTTAAACAGTCAGATGTACTGCATGTTTTAGTCAGAATGCCTTTTTTTCCCTCCAAGTTATACATGTAAACAGCCAAATATCACATCTGGGCATTAGGTCTTACAGAGGTTTTCTTACGCTTTATTAATTAATTTATTGTTTGTTTGTATGATCACCTGAAAAATCCTTAAAATCTGTGAAAATTGCATTGTCATTGGTATTGACTACTGATATTTTGGTTTACAGTATAACTGATTGCACTTGCTTATTTATGCTTACAAAGTTCCTCAGGAATTACTAAGACTTTTAGAAGCTTAGTGTCATACTACACTCTAAAAAATGCTGGGTTTAAAAGGGACAAACCCAGTTATTGGGTTGTTTTGACCCAGCGGTTGGGTTGTTTTGTCAAAACAACCCAACCGCTGGGTCAAAACAACCCAACTGCTGGGTCAAAACAACCCAATGGCTGGGTCAAAACAACCTAACCGCTGGGTCAAAACAACCCAACTGCTGCATTTGTCCCTTTCTAACCCAGTGCTGGGTTATATTTAACCCAGCATTTTTTAGAGTGTAGACACCAAAAACAACAAAAACAAATATAATGTCCTGTTTCATAAGACTCCACAGTGACAAGGCAGTAAATAGAAAGAAAGAAAGAAAGAAAGAAAGAAATCTGATACACCTCTTGCACACAAAGTCACTCACTGGTTCCTCTTTCTTGCAGTATATCCTGATATGCTAACAAATAGAAAATGCATATGCTTTGTATGTAGTGGTTATCATCTTGGCAGCGCTATGTAATGCAGAGTTCTCCAAAAAGTGGTTCTGTAGCTGTATTGCTTGAATTGTCTTCCAATTATGGTTTGATCTAAAAAATAAAAAAAAATTGTCCTTTCCACATTAAATTGCAGTAAAAGTCAAATTTAATGCATGATCATATGACTCAATCCGATATACAGCATCAATAATACTTATTTTAATGGCTTTCAAATGTAAGTATCATAAATTATGTATATACCTGTAACTATACTCATGTTCCTATGGGCCAGGCTAAAATGCTAAAATGCACCACTCAGTTTTATGCAATGAAACAGTGTAGTGTAACTCTATCTATCAAGGGATTAAGGTTGTGATCTGCTTTAAGGATAATTCATATTTGACTATCCTGTTTCAAAGAATTCATTCAGATCTTGATACATATTTTCCAACTGGTTTGATTCTTGTAAGTACCATTTAAGATGTGTTGGATTTAATGGTAATCAGATGCAATAAAATGTAAAAGAAAGTGCAAATGAAAAGTTTTACATTTACTGCTTTATAAGAAGAAATTGCTCTGAATTACAAGTATGTAAAACCCAGGCTCATTGAGAAAAGTGTTTTGTGACACTTGAGTGAAAACAGTGAGTGGTTAAAAAGTGTGTTCATTTTTATCCAAAACATGAATCTGGCAGTGTTTTATTACATTGGTTGTTGTACATATAGTGCCAGGTCAGAAATGAAATGTCCAGTGAGTGGTGCTAAAAGGTTAATACTCTATTGCGTTTGAAAATAGCGTGCCACCAACACTAAACCTAAAACAATAGTGTTTAAAAAAAGCAGATGTCAGATAAAAATGCATTGCTTTGAGCTCTTTTATCATTTTAGGGACTCGTACCCAAGCGCTCCACATTGCAATGCTTTACCGGGTGCGCTACTGAGCAAGTTTACTATGTCAAAAAAGCCAAAGATATGGAGCTGGCTATGTGATGCAGACATCAAAATGTATTGTTTTACAAATCATCCACTATGGCAAAGTGGTTTGAGCTCATAACATTGTATTGTGCAAAGAACCACATGAAAATAAATCTTTATTAATCATTAATATCATCCCTGTAATTCTAATATCTTTTTTTTTTCATTGAGACTGGGTTGAAAATTGGTCTTTATTAAACACTTATCAGGCATGGTGTGACTTTCTGTATAGAAGTCAGAAATATTTGATGATCTGTTTGAGTTTAGTACTAAGAGTCTAAAAAATGAAGAAAAAAAAGTATAGTTTTCATTTTCTGTTTAGTTTTAGCTACCTATAATATCCTTGTTTGTGTTAGACCACGCACACAAGATTGTTGGATATCACAGGTAGCAAAGTAAGCATCCAAACCTGTCGATGGTGTGTGAATTCAGGATATTTACCAGCTATACTGTAAATATATCACTAGCCATGAAACTGTTTTGCATTTTTCTCTCTATATATGCATGCTTTTGTCCCCATGTCAATGGGTTTGTTAGGCAGTTTTCCCTTGCATACTAAGGACAAACACCACAGGTCATTATGTCACATTCACAGCATCATATCAGAGAAGAGCCAGTCTCTGTTTCTGAGAGAAACTGGAACCACTTCAAAACTGCGAAGACACATTGTGATCTTTCTCCTAAAGTGTTCACTTTGATGGCTCAATGTGAGCAATATTCAACATTCAACAGAGTTCTAGAGAATCACAACAGATGTTTTATGTAGCAGACGTCTAGCATGTCTGATCTGAATCGCTCGTGCAATTTACATCAGCGAGGGTCAGATTGTCCTTCTCAAATTGCATTTCTAACCATCATGCTGCAGGAGCTAATAAAGTTACCAGCCAATTGCAGAGAACTTTCTCAGATTTGGCACTTGCAGGTGTTAATTTTGATGAAGGCATCTTAGTAGACAGGATGTTGCGCAAACATTGGTTTCAGATGTGCCTTGGTGCCTTCCTACCTCCGAAGGCAGGATTTTTTTTAGGTTTCGGACACATAAGGTTTTTTCCAGGGCCATGAGAGAGACAGGAGCTCTGTTGAGTTCTGGGATATTTGTTTTTCAGGCCATGGAGCCACTGTTCCTCACCCTTTACTTTTCCTCCTCAGTTTGGCTCTCACTATTTCTCATTCCCAAATCTCCCACTTTCACATTTTCTCTCCCACATTGTCTCTCCATTCACTCCTACTCTGTCTTTCTGTCTGTCATTTTTTTTTTATTAGCAAATTAAATTGCCATTGTAATGGCAAAGAGACCATTCACAAATGTATAGAAATTACATATTTTAAAATTAATATTAACACAATTGAATGGTAACACTTTGCAATAAGGTTCCATTTGTTACCATTGGTTAACTATATTAGTAAACATAAACTAACAATAAAAATTATTTCTAAAGCATTTATGGTAACACTTTAGTTTAGGGACTAATTCTCACTATTAACTAGTTGCTTATTAGCATGCATATTACTAGTACACTGGCTGTTTATTAGTACTTATACAGCACATATTAATGGCTTATTCTGCATGAGCATATTTTAGATCCCTTAATCGGACCCCATATCTAAACATAACAACGACCTTACTAACTATTAATAAGCAGCAAAATAGTAGTTCCCTTTCAGTCGGTCACTCTCGACGTCAAGTCGGATGACCGACGAATTGGGATCTCGCTTAGAGGGACCAATCTACTTCGAGTGTAAACTAAACGAGCCAATGCACATTGCCATGCGATTATTGCATCCAGCTGCCGCTGATCACAGCGTGAGTATAAGTAGGCAGCAGATGCAGCGCATATTCAGCTTTTCACTTCAGAGCCGAGCGGTTCTATCGTTCTGCTCCTGACCTTCCTACAGTAGTGAGAAAAACTACAGTCAAGCACGCTCTTCGGTGGGCTCTCGTG